TCTAAACTGGATTAGGGCATGGTAAGTTGACAGGAAACAGAGAGTCAGCATTAATTGAACTAAATTCGATTCGGGAATGTGACTAGTGGAGTACACTAGAGCTCAGTACTTGGACCATTACTATTTATTATATACATAAACGACATAGAATCATAGATATAGGCGTGAACAGCAACATAAGTAAATTTATTGACTACACTAAAATAGGGCGTGTAAATCTGACGAGAGGATTCCTCGTCAGATTTACACGCCATTTGTCGAGGGTTTAGACGTTAACGCCCACTGGTTCTTTTAAAAATTACTGTCAGGTGGAACACTTCGCTTTCACCAGGGATATTGAACAAGATTATGGATATTTGGAACAAATGCCGATTTGCAAGAGTTTACACTGTCGGTATGAAGTCAGTACATAGGAACATAATCATATGTACGTATGGAAGTGCCGGACTGCCTTCCAAAACAACTGTCGGGAGCGTCGACACTAGATGTGAGACGTGGGGACTTTTATATCAACACGGCAAAGGTGGTAAATAGGTGTCTTTTCCTCAACAACTTCACAGGAGAGCAAGTATCCTTCTGACCGGTAAAACTACAGTAAAAATTTTTTATGGTCTGAAGAATGGTAGATGAAAATTTAATGTGGGCATATGTAAAGTAATTAGCCTAGGAGATATAAATAGAGAAACCAGATATCTGATGAACAACGTTGATATAGGGAAATCGGACTGTGAGAAAGATTTAAGGGTAATGTTAAGTAGGAATCTTAATGTTTCCATATATAAAACCAAGATACCTCCCTCAGGTTACCCATAGGTTAATTTCTGTATTTTGCTAGAAAAGCGAGATAATGATGTCTAAAATCATGTGAAATGGTTAGAAAGTGGCAACCCAAGTCTCATGTCGGCAGAATCGTAGAAATTGTTGTGCAGCGTCGCCGTTTCTTTGGGAACTAAACCCGGCGTTTTTAATCCAACAATGCCGCGATCTCTGCGTGACCTGGGAGGCATATCACTCTGATTTTATTGTATATCACTTTAGTTTGTTATTTCTACTTCATTTTTGTACTAGACTTGTGATTATATAATACTGGATAGATAGGTGAATAGAAAAATGGAATTAAAATATGTATATTTGTTTTTATTTACATTTTATGGGCTAATCATTCGTGGCGCTGCCACTCTCCGTTCATCCGACGGTAACTCCATAAATAAAGACGATGAAGGCCTCCTTCAGCCATGGAAAGAGCGCTACCATTCACTGCTCAACCTAAACACCGTTGTGGATATCCTAACTACCCAGCAGTTCCCTGAGCATCCAGAGCTGACCCACCTCAGCTATCCTCCATCCCTGGATAAGGTAGACACTGCCATCAAACAAATGAAAGATAACAAAGCCTCAGGGCCTGATGGAATCCCAGCTGATGTGTATAAAGCAGGAATACCTCTGCTTACCAGCTGTCTCCACTCTCTCCTGGAGAATATATGGGAAAAAGAAGAAATACCCCAAGCTCTTAGAGATGCCTCCATCGTAAACAAGGGAGACTGGTCAGTTTGTGGCAACTACCGCGGGATCTCGCTGCTGTCTGTAGCTGACAAGATTATCGCCCGAGTCCTCCTAAACAGACTTCTTCCTGAGATGAAAAAATTCCACCCAGAATCTCAATGTGGCCTTAGACCATCACGTGGTACCACTGACATGATATTTGCTGCCCGCCAGATACAGGAAAAGTGCAGAGAACAGCGTCGTGACTTGTACATGGCTTTCATCGACCTAATCAAAGCCTTCGAATCGGTCAACAGGGAAGCACTCTGGTGGACCCTCAGCCGTTCTGGCTACCCACCAAAATTCATAGTCATTGTGAGGCAACTCCTCAATAGCATGAATGGCAGTGTTCTGCACAATGGCACCCATCCTGAGTTTTTCCCCATCCAAACAGGGGTTAAACAAGGGTGCGCAGTGACACTAACTCTCTTTTCCATTTTCTTGGCTGTCTTCCTTACTCGTGCCATGGCAAATTTAGCCGGCGGGGTGGACATCCGGTACGGGATGTAGGGTCTTTTCAACATAAGACCACTCCAGGCAAGAACAAAGGTGTCGGTAGCTTCCATTACTGAACTTCAGTATGCAGACGACTTCACCCTTGTCGCTCACACTGAACGCGACCTACAGGAGATCCTGAACACCTACACAGATGCGTATGCACACTCCGGCCCTGAATGTGAACGTTCGTAAGACTCAGATTCCCTTTCAGCGTGACCCTGGATTAGCCACACCTCCTCCATCCATCCAGCTTAACGGTACTACTCTCACTAATGTTACCCATTTTCATTATCTCGAATCCCACCTGTACACCACCGCGAATATTGATGAAGAGATTCAACATCGGATCATATGTGCATCCCAAGCCTTTGGTAGACTCCGAAACCGTGTCTCCAGTTGTAGGAAGCTGAACTTATCTACAAATTTACACGTATATCGAGATGTGTTCCTCCTCACCCTGCTAAATACAAGAGGCATATCAAGGCACTTGAAAACTTTCACCAACGTAGTCTAAGTTCCATCCTCCGTGTTCGCTGGGAAGACAAGAGAACAAATACCAGTATTCTTGTTGACACCAACTGTAGGAGCATCGAGGCTACCATTATCCAAGAACAACTACGCTGGACTGAGCATGTTTCCCGCATGGACGACAGTAGACTGCCAAAGCAGCTACTGTATAGTCTCTTAACGAATAGTAAACATAATGCTGGCGGGCAACTGAAGAGGTATAAGGATAGTCTTAACACAAACCTGAAAAAGTGCCAAATAGATCCCCTCACATGGGAGACGACTACTCCACACCGTAAGTTCGTAACGCTTGGAGGAGTACCATGCAAGGAGGTGTCAATACTTTCGAGTTAGCCCGACTGCATAACGAGGCAGACAAGCGCCATCGCAGGAAAGACGCTGCTGCCGCCCCTCCCGCACGAGATGCAGCTCCCCACATGTGCAACTTCTGTGATTGACCCTGCCGGTACCGTATTGGCCTCTTTAGTCATCTCAAAACTCAGCAATGAAGGTGACATCCTTAATAACTCATATCATTGTATCACAACTGGATGATCGTCATACTCGATTCCGAGTGACAGCAAAGTAGTAGTAGTAGTGTGTGTGTTTGTGTGTACTTATCCCCTTATATAAGAATGCCATAAGAACTTGGGAATATTACGAAGAGTATCACTTGAACGAAGATCGTGCTGTATAATATTATTCTCATTACTATGATAAGTTATGGAAGACGAAAGAGAAGTTGCACATCCATAAACACAAGAAAAAGAGGTGGAAAAGAGGGAACAGAAGAGTGACGAAGAGAGTAATATAATACAAGAATATTGTGAGATGATATAATGGGGGAAAGAGAGAGAGAGAGAGAGAGAGAGAGAGAGAGAGAGAGAGAGAGAGAGAGAGAGAGAGAGAATTAAGGGGATTGAGAAAATTTATAGAGATGGAGAATACTTATAGGTGACAATGATGATTAACAATGGGAAAGAGAGAGAGAGTGAGACCAAGGAGAGGAAAAATTATTGAGGGAAGGATTTCACTTGTCTAGTGAGATACACTTTCATCCTTTGGTTTGTAACATAAACCCTTGACAAGTTTCTCTTCTCAGTGTAATGAAAATGATCAATGCTGAATACTGGCACTGAATAACAAGTGTGGGATCGTGGATATAAGCATCCTGTTTAATATCAGTCATAACCTTTACATTTCTCATGTTGTTTTTGGTGTTCTAGTTCTTTTAACCTTTCTTTAATTTCCGTCACAGTCGTCACAGGGAAGATTTATACAGCATTTTGTGTTTTGTTTCAGATGGAACAATAATAAATATCATGGTACAATTGTTAAAATTCTGCTGTCACAGGCAGAGTATATTATGTGGTGAGAAAAAACATTCAGGATATTAAGGAGGAAGACGGTATATATATATATATATATATATATATATATATATATATATATATATATATATATATAGGAGAGAGAGATATATATGAGTATATATATATATATATAAACGAAATGACACACACTTATAGTCAGTAATCACTATATAATATTCGTAAATATTATTATTCATAATTGTAGTTCCCGACCTGCCAACTCTGAGTGTTCCCGAAGACTGCGTGAAATATAATGGAGAGCTCAGCGCTCGATAATGCTGATCAAGGATGTTTTTATATTATGAAAAATTCTATTTACGCCTACTGCCATGTTCAAATCCACTTCATTATGTTCATATACTCCAAGCATGCCACTCGCAAAACCAAAAATTTGTTTCATTACTTTATTTTGTTAAAGGTAACTGGTGTTATTACGTTACTTATCAAATGTATTTAAATAAAATGTGAAATTTTACCTCCGACTTTTTTCCTAGTGAAAAGTATGAATTTTTCATGTGAATTTTCCATTTACCTTTTTCCCTTCTTGAAAAGGATACGTGTACTTGTAGGAAATAACTGAAAAAAATTGTGATGTCTCTATGTCAGAAGGGCTATTTGCTGTCCATAACACATTCCAGTCATCAATAGTTGACTGGAATATTTATGTAAATTAAATCAAATAAGTATTTTGTCTCCTTTACTGCATATTTTTCATTATTAATAATTTTAGCAAATATTTTTCTTTAAATAATTGTGTACAATATACTGAAATTCCCTTTACGTATTGCTTCCCAAAACATATTGATATTTCAGTAGATTACTAGATTTAATTTCATATACCGTGACTTGATTTTTAGCTTTGATTCAGGTAAACACACAGTTAAAACATATTAGCTGTACTGTTATACCAGTCATACAGTCACAAACCATTAAAATATACCAAAATATGCAAAGAAATATACATAACCAATCGGGCTGGCTATCAAGTGTGTATCCTGTGACGTCATGCGCATAGATGGACACGTTTTCCATGTGCTGAGAGCAGACTTGGTACACTGAATATAAACCTCGGTTCGGAACCGAGGACACAGTCAGTGGTGCGAGAAGGTCCAGCATTGCAAGTTGTTGAATCCACGTCCAGTACCAACACAGAGGTGAGTGTATATATATATATATATATATATATATATATATATATGTGCAAATCACTGTAGGTGCGTGACAACTGAAAGCAGTCGCCCAGGGTGAGTACAGACTGTACTCACCCCTGAAGATGTGAATAATGGAACCCTGTGTTTTCTTTCTCTTTTCCTTGGGGAAGAGTCAGCATATATATATATATATATATATATATATATATATATATATATATATATATATATATATATATATATATATATATATATATATATATATATATTTTGCAAATCCACAATGAAACGTGATAAGATAGTATTTGTGTTCTTGAGCTCACATCTTCAGAGGCCCTGAAGATGTCTTGAATAAAGACGAAAGCTAAGGCAATTCGTTGTTTCCATTTTCCCGTGTGATTTTATCAAGATATATATATATATATATATATATATATATATATATATATATATATATATATATATATATATATATATATATATATATCGAGAGAGAGAGAGAGAGAGAGAGAGAGAGAGTGTTCCTCGGCTTCGCCATAGTGGAGGGAGGGAAAGGAGACCTCCCTCCCTAATTGTAATTCTATTTCTTCAAAAGGGGCGCTGGTGGTAGAAGCGGTACCGTTCTTGCTTCGCAAGCGAGATGTCACGGGTTCGATTCCTTGGCCGATGGAAGTTGTTTGGACTTACTTCCTAGCCCCCATTAGTCCCTGTTCACCTAGCAGTTAGGTAGGTACCTGTTGTAAGTCGAAAGTTGCGAATTCGTATTCAGGGAAAGTTGTTGGAGCTTCCAATAACTTGATGACATAAACCACTGACTCTTCAGGCTTCTACGCCCTTAACTCATGAGACATAAGGCAAGCATGAACTTAGCATGCTTCCCTGTTGGGCGCTGTAAACGCTTCTGCGCTTCACCTTACACAAGGATGTAGGGGAGTGCCCAATAAATAAATAAAAAAACTAAAAAAAAAAAAAAAATTCTTCAAAACTATGGAAATACATAAAGAACACACACACGAAAATGCATTCGACATTTATGTATAGATTTTCTCTCATAATGCCATGCACACAAGCATCAATATATTTTCACAATACCTCACTGGTCAAGGATTCGAAATCAGAAAATCCGAATGGGAAGCTGGTGTGTTAACCACTGCAAGCATGAACTTACGAGATATTACTGATAGCCTGGTTGATCAGGAAAAAGTATTAAATCTAATTTTATAATAATCACCTACTGACGGTAATTAACACTCCCGGACGATAATCCGGACAGTCAACGTACTCTTTAACGGTAATCGGTAATTATAGTACTTCCAGATGATAACCAGTAAAAACTGGACGGTGTTCAAATGTATGAAGAAGTAAGGCCCAGCAATAAGCTATATTACCATAATATACTGGCATTCAGTAACCATGACCCATACTTGGCAATAACACTCATCCTATTTCTGTTTTAGTACAGAATCACCAACAAGTAAGGTTTTCTTAGCTTCCCTATCAGCCTTGTCCTTAACTATCTTACCGTGCATTTCATCTATCATAGGACTAAAAGAATTAGTACACTTAGCTGTTGTCGTTTCCATTTTGTGGTTTTTTCACCACCATTTTTGTCATTCCTCTCCTTACTAGGAGAGGTAATTATAAGGGAAAACATTGCTGACAATTCATGAATTTGTAGGTAATATGAGGATGATGATGCGGCTGCTGGCGCTGCTGGTGATGTGGGCCATCCTAACTGAGGCCCAGGGACAACAACCACTTAAGTTGGCTGCCTGGAACATTCAGAGGCTCGGGACTAGCAAGATGAGTAAAAATGACATTGTCAACTGTTTGGTCAAGGTAAGACCTCCCAGTTAATCATATCTGGAATAACCTTAGAATGTCACCATAAGACAATCTTACATTAATTAAAATATCGTCCCAATATTAAATAAAATAAACCATCTCAGGTACCAGTCATAAAAAAATTTCATAATTTATACCAAACTTAAAAACTACAGGACGCTTAATAATATCATTAGACGCTTATAAGTCCCATAGAATAAACTGAGTATTTATTTTTGCAATATGTAAATTGATTCCATTAAGTCATCACTCGCTCTTTACTGACATATGAATCAATTATGCGTTTCAGGTAATACGGCGGTATGATGTGTTGGTGGTGATGGAGACGGTGGATAAAAGCTTGACAGTACCTGGACAACTCCATAACGAACTCAACAATGGCCTGAACCCAACTGACACCTACATGTACGATTCATCTTCCCGGATGGGCATTACCACATACCAGGAACAGTAAGTATATATTGTTACGTTCAGGACACAGCCAGAAAGAATGAGAAAAGTGCTCCTTGTGGATTTTGAGAGTCTTTTCTGTTAATTGAAAAATCGATGTTCCATTTGTACAGCCAGGCAAATTTTTACATTTGAGAGCATGTAAAACGTGAAGATATAAGAAAGAAAGTAAAAACACAAATCTTTTGTACCTACTGTGGAAAAGTTTCCTAAACATTGGAGGACCCATCCTACCTGCTCCACGAACACAAACCATCATGCTACCCAACTTATGGGGAAGGGAGAGGCACCTAGAGAGCAGGAGGAGAAGACAACCCAGAGACAGGTGTACGGGTCCCACCTGAGATAGAGTGAGCTAGCCCCCGCCTTACCCACAAAGAGACAGGGACAGCTTAGCTAAACTTTAGTAAAAAATTTGGGGAAGCCACAACATTTATCACTACTTGGCAAGTGATTGACCTTGCTCAGGGCGGGTCCTAATCTGAGTATGTGACCTCTCAATTCGACATCAACCTGTGTCGGTCACTCAGCCGGTAATAGGTAATTAAAGGTACAGCCATGACGCCGCCAACCTTGGTATGAAATGGTGGAAAGAAATATGACCTTGATGTAGCAGAAATATATAATGCATGTACCTTCTTTCATTCACCACCATCCTCCCTCATCCACTACTACCCTCCGTCCACCCCACCCACCAACACTCCGACAGCTATCCACTTTCCTCAATTACTCCTCACACTGTCACTAAACATCACTCATCTCCTTCACTCCCCGTGTCTGAAACTCTGTCCCCGTAGGTACGTCTTCTACTGGAAGCCCTCTCGTGTCAAGTGGGTGCAAAGTTACACGTTCAACGATTTAGGAAACCAGTTCACTTATGACCCCTTTGGCGCGGTCTTCATCGTCAACTCGGGCAAGAATACTTTGAAGTTTGGTATGATTGCTATACACGTTTCCCCGAAGAAGGCCGTGAAGGAGATAGACGCCCTTGTTGACGTGTACTCAGACTTCAAGCAAAAAACTGGTGTCGATGGTGAGTCCTGTCAAGGGTGTTGTACAGTAGGTAATATTTAGCGAAATGAGACAATGTGCCTTTACATTCTTAGTCATCATGTAGTTTTTTACCTCTGACCAATTTCAAATTTTTTACCAATAACGTTGAATAATTTGCGTGAAGGCACCTTGTGACAGTTTGTACACGAGAGAAAACATAATGTAGATATGTACATTTTTTGACAATTTTATAAAGGCAACAAATACACAAAACGAAAATTTTGCTTGTAAGTGTGATATTTCTTTTAGATTTATATCAACATAGACCCGGAGTTGCAAAAGGATTCCATATGACATCCTGCGGGGAGTTTTGAAGTTTATGGGTTAATTATTATCTTTGAAGCCTGATTATTCTGTGGCAGACGTGATCATAGCTGGGGACTTTAATGCCGGGGGCAGTTACGTCTCAAATAAGGATTGGGTTGACATACGCCTGAGAACCGACCCTAAATTTACCTGGCTTATACCTGACAACGTCGGCACCACAACCACGGGCAGCAACGCCCCCTACGACAGGTAGGTAGTACATGACCTGGGCACCTGCTGTGCAGTACATAAATTATACGTCTGTTTTATATTACATATGACCTGTACACCTGGAGCAGTAAATAGCTACGGCGATCACTTCTTCTACAGGATAGTGGTGGCTGGAAAAGGAATATATAATGCTTTGAACAAGAACTCCGCAGGACCTTACGACTTCAAAAATTACTGCGGTATCACCAACCTTGTTGACGTGAGGAATTATTTATAAGCGCTAGTTTGATTTTTTTTTTATCTTTGCTTCTAGAAACTTCTGTATTTTACACATTTTCACTATATCTTACACGATCTGCCTCTACCTCACACACACACACGCCCTAGTTCTCTCATTCTCACTCTCCCTCTCGTACACTCATCCTATCTCTCATAAATTCATACTGTATCTTTTACTCTCATTCTATCTCATAAACTCGTACTTGTTGTCTCGTTCATTTTGACACACACACTCACATCAATCCTCATACATTCAACTTAATTCTCAAATGTACATTTCATCTCTCATACACTTACTTCAATCACACACACATACACACACACACACACACACACATACACACACACACACACACACACACACACACACACACTTAAACTCTTACACACTTTCCTAATTCCATTTATCTAACACTTACTCTAAGGTCCCACATAGTTATACAGTTCCCCCCTCACCATTCACCTATCACTGGCCGCCCTCTTCCTGATTCATTGACTTTTCCCGTCATTCACTTCTCCTTTATTCACTGATTTCTCTTCTCCCACTGTTTACAAGGGAAGGGTGTGAAACACCACTAACTCTCCATCACTTCATTTACCAATAGGAAAAGGAAGGTGTGAGTGACTAACATTCTTTTTCCCCAACTACCTGTAGCTGAAGCACGTGAGTGACCATTACCCGGTGGAGGTGTCCATGCAGTGAAGAATGCCAAAAGTATCATCCAGCAAGGTCTATAGAAGAGGATGTCATCCCGCACCTGACCCAAAATGCGACCCAACTAGCTTATGACGTCGGCTACAGCCACAACTATGAAAACTGGTGTCCTCTGTTACTTAATGCCTGCTAATTGTGCAGTGTCTGGGTGTATTTTTTTATTCAAACGAGAGGGGAATATACACTTCTATACATTTCCTAAAGATGAAGAACTCGGATACAAGTGGATTACCTTCTGCAAGAGAAGAGACAACATCACAATACTGCTAATGCTAGGTGGGCTTTGAACAGTGCTGCCAGAGGCACTAGAGATTCCGTAAATAACATAAAAAAACAAATAATTAATTGCGCCCTCTTTCCTTCTCCCCACTACCTCTCTCCCTCTTTCTCCTTTCTCTAAGAACACAAGAATGGAGAAACTGTAGCGAGACTATGGGCCCATACAATAGGCAGTCCTGTTTACACCCAACCCATATCGCTCACTTTTCATGTGAGGTTATTACTCCGGTCACCTCATCTTTTCATGATGGCCATCACAAGTGAGCAAGTCAGTATGGACCTCTCAGAACCAATGTCCGATGAGATGAAGTCTAGAGTTAAGAAGTGCGCGCGCGCGTGTGTGTGTGTGTGTGTGTGTGTGTGTGTGTGTGTGTGTGTGTGTGGAGAAGGTGCTCACTGGAAGGAATGACACTTAGGTCTCACCACAAGTTTTTTCCATCAGGAAAAGGACCTGATGAACAGGAGGGTGAATTAGAGTGACAGGAGAGTAGGGAATGCCCCTCCTACTAGTTATTGAGAAAAGGGGACATCAGTGTTACAGAGGAGAGATCCTTAAATGTAGTATACTCAAAGTGTGACGTGGGTATATTTTTTTTGCATTTGTTTTTATGTTTTGCAATTAAGTTATATGACTTGGTGGAAAGTTAAAGTGCTGTTTGCACCTGTGAGGTATTCACTATTGGGCGTGAATGCGCTGCTAGCCCTGGTGAGATTTGTGTGAAATGTGAGTTGGGGAGAGTATTTTGTGGAAGGAGTGTAAAAGTGCTGTAGGGACATACGCCCGGAGTTTTAAACACCCTCTTCCGTTGAAGAGGGTCGTCGTGTTTCAACCCGAGTTAAAAAAAATATGAGTCCCGAAACACACCGCAGTACAGTACTTGACGGTAAAATTAACTAATTCCAGTAAAATTAATTTATAATCTTGGAATTAGTTAATTTTACCGCCACACCACCCTGTCAAGTACTGTACTGCGGTGTCCTCCTGGACTCATTTTTTGCTTAAACTAGGGTTAAAACACGACCACCCTCTTCAACGGAAAAGGGTGTTTAAAACTCCGGGCGTTAGAGATTAGAAGGTGACTCATCACAAGGCTGTGATCATCTGATGAGGACTGTTACCCAAGGACGTAAAGATACCATTTGTGATTTCTCCAGTTTCTCTCTGTAAATCTTACATAGGTCTTTTGTTGGATAGGAAGGTGTTTCGTGATTTTTCAGTAGACCAGGCATGGAAACATGGTGCAGACACAGCTTAAATGACTATGCCAGAGTGACAGATAGTCCGTGGCTTGATTTGGTCACCATAAGGACCTTTTCGTTTTTCATTTTTATCCTGGGACACACCCATAAGCAAGGCCTCCCTCGAGCCTGCTACATTTCGCGAGTGTAACATATATCTTTCGCAAAAAGGTCGAACAAGTCTTTCCACTGGCTTGATGGGGTCCATTTATCTGTTCCCAGATTAATAAGTCTATGTTGAATCTCGTGGAGTTCAATAAGCTTTGTTGATGTAAGAAACTAAATTTCAGTGTATGTATTCTGCTACAAAAAAAATATGTTTATGTATGTAGCCTCCCAAAATTTAAAATTTTACGTCTGTGCATTCGTTTCCTTTTTCAACTTTTTTGGCAACTTGTACCATTTTTTTATGAATGAAATTTATTCCATGCGCATGTAACCATTGCATTTTTCTTTTATTCCTTCTATGCGCAAATTTTTGGAATGTGAAATATTTTTGACTATGTATTCTGAGCCAGTACCCAGGAGTAACCATTATTTAAAGTGCGCGTAATTACTGTAAATGTTTTACTTTCTCTACGGCATAATATGAATCTTTGGAAAGAGGGAAATGCATCGGTCACAGCTGTACATTTAGTAAATTAATGGCCACACTTATTCATATTATGCTCCGTCGTCCATAAAACATGTGAGAAACTAGTGAGTTACGCCCTAGACTTGTTTTCTCTAGTAAGAGGTACCATTCATTTTCTATATTACCTGAAGTGCCCTCATATAGTGTTAATTTGAAATTATAATATAACAGGTATGGATAGCAGTAAGTAATATATGCCTACCATTAGCTGAAGAATTCAAAATTGTGCATGTATATGTTGAAAGCTTCACTATATATAAGTGTGGTGAGAATTGTACTAAGACGATGTGTATAGAGACCGATAACTATGTCAGTGAAAATCTCGACTGTGTAATCTCTGGAATATAATAACATGCTTGCACTGATCGTTCTATCTCCATATTTCACATAAGTGTAACCCGTGTCTCACGTGGTCATGTTAAGTGAATTTAACTAAGTGAACTTTGTTGAGTATCGCAGTTTTCCGGTTTAAATTAACTCAACGTGTTAGGTGTTAAGTGATCATGCCCCATTCGTTTCCTTGTACCAGACCTAATTTGTGACATTTGAATTTTGACCTCATGACTCTGATCACTCAATCCTCCATATACCCAGACACTATGTATGTTGTTGGGGCTGCCGAGGTTTGGGAGCCAGCTGCCGGCAGTTGTCTGAGGCAGAATGTATTGCATAAACCGGAACAAGGAGCGAGTCAAGTGGGCCTATGTATGCGGCTGTTCACGATCGCACCCGGAGCCTATAGACTCGGCTTTACTCACTGTGATCCTGGCCGCGGCTTCAGTGAGTGTGAACGCAGGGCAATGTTTTGAATCAAAGTTGACGTGATCCCTGTGTTCTTCTGTAGGTATCAGTTTGTATCAGTCTGAAGTATATTGTTTCCACTGAGTACATTAATACCAAGGTGTCCTGTGTTGTATAGAGTGTTGTAAGTCTTAATGCTAATAAATGATGAGAGTTAATGCCGTATCACTAAGACTAATGTAGTCGTGATACCTGTGTGTCAGAGACACCTGTATTGAGAGTAATAATAATTCCGGTACATAAATAACATTCTTATGACGAATGTTGAGGATGTTAATGAGTGTTAACAGTTGCTGGTATAATTGTTTTTGAATTGAAGTGGTGAAGATTCATTATTTTCATGTGTCACTCTTGTAGAATGCTACCATGAGCTGTAGTACTTTTTACGGAATATTGCTTGTTACATTGAAATTCTTATTTTTGCTGTCAAGTAATGCCTGGTGGAATTCTGAGATTTTGTAGCAGTCCTAATGTAAATGTTACCAAATTTTAAATGAACCCCATGGAGGTGGTCCTGTGTTTTGTACTCTGGGAAATTGCTCATATCCTCTACTTCATTTGAAATAATAATAACCTTAATTTTTTTGTGCTATCATTACCACTGCAGCATTCACCTTTTTTTCTCCCTAATAATTTATACCATTAAATACAATAGAACCCACGAGCCTAATCCTCGCCACGCTGCTACCAAAGTGTTTCACAGATTTATGTTGTTATATATTATGATATAAAGTCTGGGTCGTGGAGGCTAGAATGAATAGAAGAGAATATTATATATGTATATAAAAGAATATACCCTGTTTATATAAAATAAATAAATAAATATTAAATGACTACAGGTAATTGGTATGTGAAATTAGAAAAATATACACCAGAATAATACAACCCTTCTAAATTACCATAGTCATCATACACATTTAATACATCATACACAAGTCTATATTGTCTTGTGTGTGGTCTTCTTCCTTCAACGGGATCCACTTTGACATCATTTACCTATATATATCTGTTATGATACCGACTCCTTGGCCTTTCCACTGGATCGTTGAAACTCTTATTGTCCTGAACAGAATCCCAGAATACCTCAACAGATTAAATAAGGAAGGTGCATGTGGTATTGTAACTAACAGCTCTTATTTCGAGACAAAGGTTCGAATCCCTATAATTTTAAACTCGTATCATCGTTATCTTATTTTTTTTTTTTTAAGAATGATTGAAGTTAATCGTTCATATTTCCTTAGAGTTGCTTAAGGTTTCCCCCGTTACCTATTAATTCTTGCTCGGTATTTTTTTCTTTATTCCTGAACTCATTGATTGCCTTTGAGTATAAAATATCAAGGGGAAACGAAGAGGAGTAAACAAATGAGGAAGAGAGAAGGAAACTTACCTCAAGTGTTCCTCGTATAAAAAAATAAACAGGGAGAGCAGGATAAGTTTTACCTTTAATATTCCTTTTTAAAGCGGACTAAATAAAGACGAAGAGAGGTAGAAGCTTAAAAAAGAATCTTCTCTTTACTGCTATCTAGAATTCTAGATAACCCACTTCCAGAGGCACTACTCCTTTGTTTACTTCTTAGAACAGCTGATGTTGTTTACTAAGCTGGTCTTAGTTCTCTAGTTCGTTTCTGAATGGAAGGGCTAAAGGGAAAGTAAGTAAGGAAGGGAAGGGTGGGAGTGGAAGGAGGAGGAAGACCAAGAGTGGGGGCGGGGAGGGATGGAGAGAGTGAGAGAGGGAAGAACTTAACTGAAGGAGGGGGGAGAGGTAGAGACTAAGAGATAGAAAGAGTGTTGATGTTTGACACACAGACATACACACTCAAGCACACAGATGCACGTTCACACTCCAGCTGGTGCAGTCTGCCAAACTCCTGGGTGTAACTATAGACAACAAACTGGACTGGAAGGCCCATGTAAATAACACAGTCAAGGCAGCCTCGTACCGTGTCTACATGCTATGACGACTTAGGTCACTTGGGACACCCACGCCAGAGCTGAGGACTATCTACAATGCCTTTATTCTCCCCAAACTAACGTATGCGTCACCAGCCTGGTCGTCTTCTCTCAATTCCACCCAACAACGTCGGCTAGAGAAGGTACAGAAAAGGGCCTGCAGAATCATGCTCGGCGCAGAATACTCAGGCTACATCAACGCTCTCTCCATCCTGGAAATGCCATCCCTCAGTGACCTCCACCACCAAGCACTGGAAAGGTTTGGCAGCCAACTAATTCACCACCCTCGTCATCGCCACCTCCTGCCACTGGCAACCCCCCACCCACCTCGCGCAGTCCGCCACTACAACAAAATTCAGCCCATAAGAGCCCGCACCGATAGATATAAGAATAGCACCATCCCATCTATTGCTAAAATAATAAACAACTCCTGATTTATGTACTGTACACTGTACATTTACAGGGCTGTACAGTGTACAGCCCTGTAAATGTATTCAATGCACATTATATCATTATGTCTAAATCAAATGTAAGTCTGTATATTTTCAGCCACCTGCTGCAACTCTATTAATAAACCGTTTATTATTATTATTATTATTATTATTATTATTATTATTATTATTATTAATATTATTATATATTGAAAAACACGTATCTCTCTCTCTCTCTCTCTCTCTCTCTCTCTCTCTCTCTCTCTCTCTCCCTCTCAAAAGATAAAGATCGCTGTGGTAAAACCTACCAGTAGAGGCATTAAGAACCGTAATCATGTCGGCATGAGATCTCACCATTACCCGGCCTCGCTCGGTAGAGAAAAGGAGAGAAGAGAAGACGGGAATGCTGCGTTTAGCAAAAGGGGTAAGATGCAGTTTCTTAGAACAAATTATAGGGGGGTCGTATGTATGTTTTCTCAGCACATGAGGACAGTGCTGTCTTTTTTTAGGGGGGTCGATTGTAATATTCAGAAATTTCAGAGTAATTTCGAATGCCCAGCCATTGGCAACACTGAGCGTTCAAGGTCGTGGGAGGGAAGAGAGCGCTTCCTGCTCATAGCGAGAGATGGTGGAACTAGGCCTATATGATATTAAATGTAATTTACCGAATTAATAATGATGCGATTCACGAAGTAAGGGACTATTATTGAATTTGAAATTATTATGGATCGTTTATCAGTCTGAATAATGTTACGGGTGTCCCAAGGAGTTATTAGTTAGGCGGAAAATGTGTCACGTAGGCCTAAGCTAACGCCTTGAGAGGAGACGCGACGCTGGCTGGCCCTCAGTCACGGGGAGCATTCAGACAAAACAAGACGTCCCTGCCCGTCCGTCACAGAAATAGTCACGTGGCCTAATCACCTGTGCTGCGCTATTGCAGTATAACAAGTAAGTCTCATTCGATCTCAGACAGGGTTAGATAGGGCAGTGGTAAAGTAAACTAGAGCTAACAGTGAGTTCATTTCAGGGCTTCCGTCAGAACCCACTTGACCGGAGTTGACCGGAGTTGACTGCGAGAGATTGACTGCCGTTTGAGACTGCCGTTGATGATTGAGGGTGGCGATTGTCGCCATTGGACCGATCAGTGTAGGCCTGTCTCTGTTTAGCGGGGTAGCAAAGGATCTCTTGAGTGAAGGAGTGCTCCCGACAACTAAAACGACACGGGACCAGCATCAGCAGTGGGTGATCAGTTCTTACCATTCGGGTGCACAACACCACGTGTCCTCGGTCAGCTAGAAGTGTTACCTACTGGCCATAGACACCTGCTGGCGTTCTCTCTTCCTGCCCATGGACGCACTGGGAGTACACTGAGGCTATCTGAGCAAATTAATGGTTACACACTGAGACCATGAGTCTAGGACTCTAGGAGATACTTAGAGGAATATTTTATCTTCCTTATTACGGGTGTAGTTAATACCATTTCTCAGTTACTGATATTATCTTGACGTGTGTAGTTTAATATTTCTTAAATAATTTTGATAGTAGTGTTTTTTGAATGTTTGTGTCATTAAGTGGAACCAGAGTGATACTGTGATTTGATTCTTTTAATGCATCTAATTTTTC